TGTTGCTGAATTCAGCAAAAATAATGTTTAGGTGAAGAGGTGAGATCTCACCCGTTTTCTCACCTGTTTTTTCACCTCAGTTATTTTATAAGCGTTTTACATGGTAAACGTTATTTTTGGAATTTTGTGAAAACTCAACGGTTTGACACAAGCCCTAAAAATTATTTTACTCAGAATTTTGTTGCTGAATTCAGCAAAAATAATGTTTAGGGTAGAAGGTTAGATCTAACCTCATTTCTAACCTCTTTTCTACCCCAGTTATTTTATAAGCGTTTTACATGGTAAACGTTATGAATTCGTGAGACTTTAAACAGTTTCGTAGCTTCTATTTCTTCTGTCAGTATGTCAAAAGTTTTAACTATGCCGAAAGTCTCTTTATACTTCTTCTTGACGTCAGACAGAAGGAAATCTTCTGCAGTTGGATAGTTTTTGTTCAGAAATTCTAACATGTCCATTTTATCTTCTGCTGGCTTTTCTACTTCTTTCTTTAAATCTGCATAGTCGTTTCTCATACGTTCTATCTCTTTGACGGAGTAGTTATATTTCCTAATTGCTGCTTTACATTTAGAACATTGCGGGTTCATTTTTGCGTTATATTCTGAAACCTTACCTGCTAAAACAACTAAAGCGTCAATGGTTTTCTTTAAATCTGAAGCAGTTGGTTTTATTTGTTCATTCCATACCTTACATCTTCTATCTTTATCTCTTATCTGCCATACACATTCAGCAACTAACGAAACAAAGTTGTCGTAGGTCTTAAACTCCCCAGATTTATATATGTCAGAGATGTTCTTATATAACATGTCGCAATCTTTGTCCATAACCTTATGGTTGCAATGAAATCCTAGAAACTCATAGTTTACCTTTCGTATGAACTTCTTTATTTCTACTGAGTCAGTTGGTTTCACTTCTATTTCATCGAATTCAGGAATAGTGAGCTTTTGTTGTTGGATTTCAGGCAATTTAGGCAAATGGTCAATAATGTCCTGCATTTCATAAAGATACTGTTCATTTGTTTCATCTTTCGCACTACAGTCTAAATTACTTGTTAAAAGTTCTTGCTTTATCTTCTGGATTTCTGTTTCGAAAGTATATGAAGAAGGAATGAAGCTTTTCATTTCTACTAACATAGATGTTGGATTCATGACTAAAGAGTTTGGTGCTGTTGTTGCTAACATGTTCTTACAATAAAAATAAAAAATATTTTTTTAAAAAAACTAACTTTATTTTTTATTTCGGGAAAATTCATGAAAATTCAAGAGGGTAGAAAACAGGTTAGAAAAGAGGTTAGATCTAACCTTCTACCCTAAATTATATTTTTGCTGAATTCATGAGTTTTGGTTGAAAGAATACGGTGGAGCCAAAAGTGGCTCGACCTCAAAACAAGCATTTTGTGAAGAATAATACAAAATTCAACGGGTGAGAAAAGAGGTGAGAAAACAGGTGAGATCTCACCTTCTACCCTAAACATTATTTTTGTGCTATGTTTTCTGTATAAAATTCATGAAAATTCAAGAGGTTAGAAAAGAGGTTAGAAAAGAGGTTAGATCTAACCTTCTACCCTAAACTTTATTTTTCAATACTTTTTCAGCACTTTTCCGTAGTTATATATGAAAGACAATTCGAGATAAAAGTCATAGTACAATGGAATAATATGTTGCACACCATTTGTTGTGAACCAAACTTGAAAGTCAGAGAAACTGTTACTAGGTGGTTCGTAGAATTTAGAAGCAAAGTCATAAAAGTCCTTACCAATACATAGAAAACTATTGTTGCTTGAACTGAAAATTGCATGACACATAACATTTTGAGGGTCAAACACGTTTCTATAAACTGTCAAATCTGCTGGTGGAAGTATAAATTTAAATGGACCATCTGGTGGTAATGGTTCGTTCTGGTTTAGTAACCGAAGAAATTGTGCCCAAGAACGTTTGTCTACTTCCCAAAATAAAAACTCTGTATCTCTTGGAGGGTTAATTTCAATCTTTTGAAATGAAACGGTGGAGTTCATCTTGTCATATTCTAGTTTCAGATAGTATGTTCCATTTAGTAAAGAGTCGTATTTTTTTTGAAATTCCCAATAATATTTGTTCATTTGAGTTTGAAATCATTTAGAGTTTTCTCAAGACTTTCGTCTGAACGAACTGTAAAGATTCTCATTTCGTCAAATTTGTCTATTAGACCATCAGAACCTTATACTGCCCATGAAAATATACTACGAACATAAATGCGTTAGTTCTATTTGAAAACAAAACTCTTCTAAATCCTATTGCCTTTGCATCTGAAGGACTTTGAAGCCAACGAATTGGATAGTCAAACCTGTATGTTCGGGATGAAATTTCTTCATCTGATATTGTCCTACCAGCATTTGTAAAGATATAGTCTAACGGTTTTGTATCTGCTACTTTTGCTTTGTTTTTCAACCTGAAGCATTTAATATATGTAAAATATATTGTTTTAAAATGGTATGCCATATAGCTTCTTGAATTTGTTAAGAAGTATTTGAACGTTTTTTTCCATCTGTATCTTAGTGTTTACATAAGCATAGCCCGCCTTAGTAAAATATACTTGTAATTTCCTATAGTTTACGCCAGTATAAAAGTAGAAAGAGTCTTGTTCTTCGCTATAGTAGTAAAACTCAAACGTATGCTTGCCATAGTCTGTAATTTCAATTGTTTCATCTTCTAGTTCGTCGACAAATTCGAATACAATATCTCCAAATTTGCCTTTGTTCTTATTGTTTTCAGAAAGAGTGACCCAACATAAGTTTTCAAGTCTATTGTCGTTTCTTATACGGTTTATATGGTCTACAAAAGGTAAATTGTTAGATTCAGTATAAAATGAGTTGCAATGACAACGTTTAAGATAGCGTTTCCACTCATCTTCATAATAGCATATCCGTCATTTTCGCTCCCATTCGCTTAAAACTCTTTTTGTCTTTTTGTTTCTGACTTCAAATGACTCACAACAGTGAATTTCATATTTCTCATCTAACAAACAAGTTTCCCAACGGTCTTCTCCAACAAACTCAGCGTACATTTCAAATAAAATAAAAATGTCACTTTTTAAAAAATAAATTTTTACTTCATGCAATGTTTAACACATCGAAAGGCATGTCCATAAGACGTTCTTCTCTAACCTCTTCTAGTCTGTTTGGATAATTTGCACGTGCTGTTTCCAAATCCATTTCGTAGCGAAGACCAGCCAGTTTGTCATAGACTTTTATGGGTCTTCCTTTCTTATATTTAAACTTCTTCGAAACTCTCCAACCATATCTTTGTAACTCTGCTTTTATTCTAGCAGACTTTCTATCCATTCTATATGGGGGCATTTTTATAAAAATAAAAAAATGTTTTTTTCTTTACTTAACATAACCGCCTGCTGCCATAAGTCTTTGACGCCAACCCATACCAGCTAATGAAGGTTGACTTGGTTTAGTTTGGAAACTAAACTTTGGTTTTGGTTTATCTTCAGTTTTTGGTTTCTCTTCTTCTATCGGTTTTTCGTCACTTTTCGGTTCCTCTGACTTTTCCCCACCTGCAGGAACAGTTGTGTCGTCAACATCTTCATAAAATATCATATGCCATTTGTTTTTGTTTTCCTTTCAACTTTTTGTGTTTGTTGTAAAGTTTAGAATATTTTGACTCTAAGTCAATGAGATGTTCTATAATGAACTGTTGGTCAGTGAAGTAAACTTTTCCATCTGTTGTCTCGAAAGCTCCTTCAGACTTCAATATTTTATTTGTGAGAGTCTGTTTCTTTTTTGAGATACTAGCCGTTCCATTTCTATGAAAAGTGACTTTATAGTTAGGGTTTGTATTTCCAGACCTGGCACTTTCTATTATTGAATTTTTCTCTTCATCTGTAAGTTCTTTGACAGGTTTTGACAATGTTCTGAACTTTTTGTTTGTGGTGTCAAATCTACCGTTTCAACTTCTTCGGTCATTTCATCTCAGTAAAAAATTTTAGTTTGGTTTGTTTTCAACTGGTTGTTGTTGTTTTTTAAGTCGGTCTAAAACTTCCTGAGGTATAGGAAGAACTTGACAAACACGTGGTGTAACTGCTGGAAGCCGACAAATCCATCTTGAACCCATTTGTCTCAATGCTGTATTGTTCATTTCATCTCAGTAAAAAACTTTACATTCCCCACGTTTGAGGCGGTTGAGGTTGGTTATTGTTTACCCATTGTTGTGCATGGTTATATCCTCTGTTAAAGAATCTTTCACCTTGGTCCATATTAGTGTCCTGCTTGGTTATAGTAGTCATTTGCTTTGTTATAATAGTTTCCTGCTTGTCTTCCTACATTGTCCATCCATCCTTGAACTTTTCCTCTTGTTTCAGGATTTGGAATAAGATTTGTTGCATCTCGTGCTACATCCCAACCTTTCTGTACAGTTTGTATAATAGGTTGTGCTTTCTCTTTAAGTATACCTAATGTACTCAAAATCTTCCTTCCAACTCCAAATACACCTCTGGCTATTGTTCCCACTGCGGGCAAAAAATCTGGATGCAACTCCTGCTAATGCGCCAAATAAACCCATTTCTTATGGGTTAAAAAATGACGAATCCAAACAAGGACCCCTATGTTTCTAAGGCCAACAAAAAAAGCACTCATGATAAAAATCTTTAGTTCAACACCAAATGCTTGGTTTATGGATATCTTGGAAAACATTCCGAGGTATAGAGAAGATGGACCACCATACTGGCTAATATTTGTCGGTCAAAACACAAGATACTGTGAAGCCATACCATTACAGTCCAAAAATATTTTAGATATCTTAGCAGCTTTGACAATATTCGTTGACAAATACCATCCAACAAAACTGACATCTGACTGTGAAAGTTCTTTCAAATCAGATGATGTAAAAAACTATCTGCGTTCAAAAAATGTAAACCAATATTTCATTGTCGACCAAAACCATTCTGCTCTTGGTGTCATTGACGGTTGTATAAAAATGTTAAGAGACTTAAACCAACCACAAGGTGGTGAAGCAAATGAAATGTCATATGACGACAAGTATAGACACTTCTCCATGGCAAAGATGAGACAAGTTTTAAATATTTACAATAGCCGTAAACAAAAAGGTTTGGGAAACCACTCCCCCGAAGAAATGAAAAACAACCCTGACTTAGAGAAAGACTATATATTTAATAATTTAGTCAAAAGAGACAAACAAGAAAGAATGCCGGGCTTCAAACTTAAGAAAGGCGACAAAGTAAAAATAGAAATACCTAAACGCGACCCATATGAAAATACTATTGACTATGACAACAATGGGAACCCGACAGGTACTCACATTCGTGTTCGTAAAAATAGAAGAAAGTATACAAGAGAATATTATGAAGTTTTAGGCAAACATGGCAAAATGTACAGACTGCAAGCAGAAGATAAAACTACTATTGTCAGACCTCGTTTCAAACTTGTCAAAGTTCAAGGTGGTATACTTTCAAAGACAGTTCCTAACAAATATAAGACAACTCCTGACGAATATGCTAAAGAAGTTGAAAATGACGACTAAGCAATTCTATACCATGCGTAAACTGTCATGTAAGGTGGCATGTAGTCTTTACTTTGTCCCGTTGTTTGCGTATATCCCGAAACGCGATGTGTATGGTTTCCATCTCCCTGAGTGTCACCCCAGAAACAATTTATAGCAAACTGAACGTCGTCTTTAACATCATATCCTTTACCTTTTTTCATTGCTGACCAATCCCAAAATTTATGCTTATGCCAACCTGCTTGAGATGTACTTAAATCTATGTAGTGACTGTGCGCAGGTAAATTTTCACCTGAAATCGTTTTACTTCCTCCTGTTTCCTTTGAAGAGTTTGCACAATACAAAAACCTGTCGACTATTTGAGTCCAAGTTCCAAAACCCAGAACTGTTTCTGGTCTGGTAGAGTTCATTGACGTATAAATAGAGCCTATAGGATATAATGTTTGAAGCATTTCTGTCTTTAATGTTTGAAGCTCTGTTTTGTCTGCTTTCTTGTCATATAAATCTTGAGCAGTGAATTTAATATTATGTTCATCCTTCATGACATAAACATCTTTACATCTAATGTTTCTCATCGTCGTTATGTCGTCATCCGATGTTAAACCTTGTGGAAAGTTAGGAGGTTTACAATATAATACATCCCCACCAGTTTCTTCAACCGTTCCTTCAATACTTTCTATAGCAACAGTTGTAAAACTTGTATGTGTATGGTTCTTGTCTGCTTTCTTCTCTAACTCATCGTTAACATAAGTTTTATCTGCTTTAAGGTCTAAACATCCTGAAACCCATCCTGTATCGGCTTTAGTTTTTTAAAATCTTCGATGTCCGTTCATGGTACCAGTCAACCCTTTCTATAATTTCTTTATCTTTTTCGTTAACATATTCCTTATCTGCTTTCTTCTCTAACGCACTAGCCATAAGTCCCTTATCTACCTTATTTTCAAGGCTAACGTTTAAGTCTGTTATTTCAGATATAGAATGTGTATGAGTCTTTTTAGAATATTCGTTTTCAGCTCTTGTCACTTCACTTGACATTTTATTGTCAACATATGTTTTGTCTGCTAGTTCAGGATGAGTATGTTCTTTTGTTTGCATAAGCATTGTTAGCTCTTTCTTCTTCTTTTGCTATTGCATCGTCTACATATTCTTTGTCAGCTTTGTTGTCAACATCTGCTTTCAAAAGAAGTTCATTTATAGGTTTCTCGTTTAAAGTTCCTTTTGTTGGATTTATACAGACAGTATTGTTCTTCTTGTCTTGAAATAGAAACTCATCTGTCATTGGTTTAAGGTCAGTTTTAAGTTTCCTTCTTTCAATGACTCAGATATCTTAGAATAGTTTGAAAAGTTTGTTGTGTTCTTATTTAGAGCTTGCATAATGAGTTGTCGGTTGTGTTGTATTTCTCTTATGGAAGCAATATCTTTCGACATTTTTATTCTAGATAAAATATGCTTCCAATAGAAAAGAAAATTCAAGAGTTGCTACAACTAAACCATTAGATGAACTTTTTACTAATGTCGGTCAAAAGTTTGAGACAGATACCGTAAAGCATGAAGGCTATCGTTTTGACTACCCATTAAGATGGCTAAGAGACCCATCCGTCACAAAGGCTATTGGCTTTCGTAGAATGAAGTTCATTTCAGAAGCCATACATGGTTTCCCATTTACGGTCGGTTTTGAAGTTCGATACTATAACAAAGAAAAACGTATGTATGAGAAATTTGAACAGGGAAAACTTTTACAAGTTAGTTTGTTTGTAAACTTAGAAACAACTCTTCAAGCTTTTCAAGAAAAAATAAACGATATCTATCTCGAATATGCAAACCAGTATAACATTGACGAAGGAGAGTACCATCTCGATATTATATATGACAGGAAAAATGCAACTGTTAAAATCAATAGAATAGAAGACCTTGGAGAAAACGTTTATATTTCTACAAAATATAACAACTTGGCATGGTATAGATTTATGAGGATGTTAAATCAGCCTGCAGCATATCCAGTACACCCAGACTTTTATGAAGTCGAAAACCCTAATGGAACATATGAAAATGTTTTCGACCCAGATGCTATTATTGTTCATGCTTCATTTTCTGGTGCGCAAAACTCTTTCTTATGCTTGGCAAATGATTTTTACGAAAAACCTACAAAGTTATACGAACCACCAAGTGGAAGTATTTCAGACTTTCAAGTATGGTTTACTACAGATGGAAGAAAAAGAATAATTCCATTATACCATGCGTTTTACTTAGAACTTAGTTTCATATACAACTACTATCGAACGGTAAAAATATAATTTTTTAATACGGTTGAGGTGTTGGATTTGGTTGCCAACTAGACTGTGGTGCAGGTTCAGGCTGTTGTATAACAGGAGCTTGTTCTTCTGGTTCAGGGTCTTTAGGTATAATACCAACAAACTGACCTACCCTTTTACCAATATTTTTGACTCCGTTCCAAATTCCTCTTCCTACGGTTTTTATTCCATTCCATATACCTCTTCCAACATTTCGAAAGAAGTTTCCTATCTTACTGAAGAAACCCATTTTACTATATGTAAAAATCTAATGTCCGCCTAGTCTCTTACGTTTCCTGTTGAGTTCCATAGCATTCTTTAACTGGAGCTCATACATTCTGTTTCTCCTCTGGTAGAAAACATATTCTGGGTCAACTCCTGTGTTCGCGTCATCTGCATAAAGTTGTTTATATCCCACTTCAGGGTTTGTATAAAACTCTTTCCATCTCATATTTGCATACCATGGTGGCAAACCTAACGCAGCGTCATTTGACATGGCAGTTTGCATTTGTACATCTGTTGGCACTTGACCATAGTTTGCCATTGCAGTTTGTATTCTAACTTCATTTGGAATATTCTCTGGGTTTGGTTGTCCAGGTTGCTGTGCATTCGCTAAGTTCTGTGCGTCCATTTAATATTAGATAAAAATATCTCTTACGAGTACATATACTGAACATTTGCAGGCATTGGTTCATCTTCATATTCTCTGTACTTTTCTGCCACGTCAAAGAAATAAATGACACAATGGAAAAAACCTAAAACAAGTAGTCCGATTTCAAACCACATTTACTTACTAATAAAATTTCTTTGTTATGACACTTTCTCCAGTTTATAGGACCTCTCTCATATTCTATCTTGTCATATATAAACTCATAGTCATGTATGTCCTCTAACCATCTCATAACGGTTTCCAAACCACTTTTATCGGATGTAAAGTAAAAGCATGGATGGTTATGTATAACGTCTAAAGTTTCTAAAGAGTCTCTCAAAGTCCAGTCTACTTGGTATTGAAAAATCCCATGTGTTATAGAACGGCGGGTCCACTATAAAGAAAACATTTTCCTTGTCTTTATATTTTTCATACAAATCTGTCCAATGACATCTCACAAACTCTATACCCTCAATATATTTTTCTATGTCCTCTTTGAAAACATTTGTATAGTTAAGATATAAAACTTTTGACATAAGTGTTTCAATGTCATGAACTCTTATAGCACCACTATATAATAGTCTAGCAGATATACTATCCCAGTCTATATATTCTGCTTTTTTCAAAACCTCTCTCACAATATTTTTGTTATCTAATGGTATACGTTCCATCTTACCTATCTGAATCTTTTCTTTTAACTCTTTCAATATATTGTTTGTGTCTGGTATATGTTTGAGACGGTCCATATAGTTGTCGAAGTCATTGCATATAATCTTTGAGTCAGGGAATATTGTATGGCACAAATGGGATATATAGAAACTTCCACCGAACAAATCTACAAATGTTAGACCATTCGGTAGTTTCTTAAGTTCTCTCAATATAATATCTTTACATTTACTCTTATTTCCAAAGAACGGTAACGGAGGTTTTGTAAAATTCATTTATATATAATAATAAAAATGTTTTTTCCTGAAAAGTGACAGAAAAGTGACAAAACATGTACGAAGAAATCATGAAAATTCAAGAGGTGAGAAAACAGGTGAGAAAACAGGTGAGATCTAACCTTCTACCCTAAACTTTATTTTTGTCTGATTTTACGAAGAAGTCTTGACAAAACATTTACGAAGAAATCATGAAAATTCAAGAGGGTAGAAAAGAGGTTAGAAAAGAGGTTAGATCTAACCTTCTACCCTAAATTATATTTTTGTCTGATTTTACGAAGAAGTTTTGACAAAACATTTACGAAGAAGTCTTGACAAATTCATGAGGTGAGAAAAGAGGTGAGAAAACAGGTGAGATCTCACCTCTTCACCTAAATTATATTTTTGGTCATTTACACTCATTACGAAGAAGAAGTCTTGACAAAACATGTACGAAGAAATCATGACAAATTCAAGAGGGTAGAAAAGAGGTTAGAAAAGAGGTTAGATCTAACCTTCTACCCTAAACATTATTTTTGGTCCTTTACACTCATTACGAAGAAGAAGTCTTGACAAAACATTTACGTTCATGTTTGACAAAACATTTACGAAGAAATCATGACAAAACATTTACGAAGAAGTCTTGACAAAACATTTACGATGAAATCTTGACAAAACATTTACGAAGAAGTCTTGACAAAACATTTACGATGAAATCTTGACAAAACATTTACGAAGAAGTCTTGACAAAACATTTACGATGAAATCTTGACAAAACATTTACGAAGAAGTCTTGACAAAACATTTACGATGAAATCTTGACAAAACATTTACGAAGAAGTCTTGACAAAACATTTACGAAGAAATCATGACAAAACATTTACGAAGAAGTCTTGACAAAACATTTACGAAGAAGTCTTGACAAAACATTTACGAAGAAGTCTTGACAAAACATTTACGTTCATGTTTGACAAAACATTTACGATGAAATCATGACAAAACATTTACGAAGAAGTCTTGACAAAACATTTACGAAGAAGTCTTGACAAAACATTTACGAAGAAGTCTTGACAAAACATTTACGAAGAAGTCTTGACAAAACATTTACGATGAAATCTTGACAAAACATTTACGAAGAAGTCTTGACAAAACATTTACGAT